GGGGGGAGAAGTGTGGCTAGAACATTATAAGACAACCCAGTGATCCTTCTAACATTTCTATTCAGTTTAAATTGTAATTCATTTTTTTCTCTTTATTTTCCTTTCAAGAGGGTTTACAGAACTTGGTGATAAAGGAGAACATTCATCAAAGTGACCTCCCAGGTGATTTTAACTAACAATTTACATCTTAAATAGTAGTATATGAAATAAAGAAAAAAGGTCTGTCTGATTTTATTTAATGAATTTAGACATCCATGCCTACCTATGAGGGGAAAAAAAAAAAAGGTGTATTTGTTTGCTGTTTTGTTTTTGCTTGGATCTTGTTGGAGTTTTTAAAGATTAATTTTAAATAGATTTTTTTATCATCATAAAGAAGATACTGACATAAGGATTAAGGGAGGAGACACAATTTCAGGGTGAAACAAGTAAGTGCTCAGGGGTATGGGGCCTAGTTCCTGTCACACCTCTTCTAGGAACTGGTTTTGTGCACATCCAGCCTATGAAACGATGGGATTATATGCACTAAAATCTAAGGCCCACATAATCACAGCATTAGTCACTCAATAGAAGGGTAAGATTTGCTGAGCCTAATTCCAGAAGGAAGGATTAGCAATCTCTCTAATACCACACTCAGATTTATGTACAAACAATGTGGTTTGAGGGCTCAGAAATATTTGCTTTTCTTACCCAGTTCTCTCCCGAGAATAGACAGGGAAATATAAACACAGAAATGCAGAGCTTGGAGAGAACTTATATCAGGATCTAGCAGGAACTGAGTACTGACTCTGTTTTAGGCATTAAGCTAAGTGCTACATATGTGCTACCTAATTTAATGCTGACATCCCTATTTAAAATAGGTCTTGTATCCTTACATTTTGTAAATAAGAAAATCAAGGCTCAGGGAGATTCCTGTATATGGCCAAGTTATAAGGGAGGAGGGAAGGATTTGAACTCAAGCAGCCGGATTCCAGAACCTGTGCTTTCTCACTAAGCCACAGTGCACACGGGAAAACGGTCGGAGGAAGCAGTGGGAAACAGTAATTGAGATATTTGACCTTAGACACGCCTCGAGGTGCCTGTAGAAATAAACCACTACACCTCCATCGGTTGAGTTACTGCTTTGCATCTCCAGGAAGCATGGCCTTTCCCAGCTGCCATGTCGGACCTGATCTGGATGCTCCTCTTCCCTGCAGGCTCCGTTTCATAACCCGGCATGATCAGTGTGAGCTCAGGAAGCCCCTCTCATGTCACCCTGACTTAGCCCGCCCTTTCCCGTCAGCGTTGCAGGGTGGAAATCAGGCTTGGGCCTTGGAATCAAGCCATGCTCCACAATGACACTCTGACTCTCACCCTAAAGCCAGCTAAGGTCCTGCAAGCACTCGTGCTTGCATTTTCCCATCCCACCTTCTCCGGGAACAGCCAGCCTCTTGTGGCAGATGTCCTGCCTAACCCTTTGCCTTCATTCCGGCTGTTGGCACACACCTGCACCCCTTAGTACCCACCAGTCAAACCCATGGAACCCAAGCCTTCCTAAGGCTTCAACATGTGGGTCAGGCCAACAGGCAGACAGCGCAAAAGAGTTAGGGAGAGCAAAGGGCTCAGAGGGGAAGCAGAGTCAACGTCTAACTTGGCTACTTACAGGTTATGTGACCACGGGGAAGTCACTCAAGGAGGCTTGAGCCGCCCTTCCCTCCTTAAGGATATTAAAAATGTGAGGATCTTAACTGTTGAGGATCTTAACGCCAGAATTTCTTTTTTCGCCGCACCTAAAAAGCTTTCAGTGGGTCCACTAAAGAATGGGCAAGGAGCAATGGCTCAACCTAGAGACATAAAAACCATTGGGACCTGAAAGAAGGAAGCCTCTGAAGCAGAGATTAAATTTTGAATGGTTTGATGAGGTGCACCTCTTTAAACCCTGGCGACTGTGCATTGAATAAGGACTTTTAAGTTTCATTTGCATGATAATTGCCTTATCTCATCAAAAGTCACATGTAAAAGTGCCCTGGTCATGCCTTGGAGAAAGTGAATTTGACAGGTAATTCGCATGCTCCTGTTGAGAAACTGCAGTTGGGGGTGGCATCACTCAGTCGCACTGTGTGAAGGCAATGGGGAAAGAATGGTGAATTTGAGACTTTTGAGGGGGAAAAGTTGCCTTCCTAAGGACTGCCTCCTCCTTTCTGATTAGAATATTTCTATAACTTGGTCTGTTTCTTTTTTCTCCCCTTTATCTGGAAACTCAAAGTGAAACTGGTGACTCGATCCATCCCTGTGCTCAACCTCCGCGCACTTGCCAGTCTTCCCGGTTGCTCGCTCTCGCCCTATCTTGCATTTTTGTTTTTGTTGCTGCTGCCTGCTTCCTCAGATCCATATTAGGGTAGGTTTCACTATAAGTCGTTTCACATTCTAAAGTGTAGAGGCATAAAAATCGGAAAGAAAAGACGAAAAGATCTTTGTATTTTTCTTAAGCCTTAAACCCTCTCTAGCTGGTAACCGTTTCCCTCTCTCTGGCTTGTATCTAAGGACACACCTACACGGCTCCAGAATAATCCCAGGGCAGCCAAGTCCTGCTCTTCCAGTCCTTCTGCTTCACAAGTCCTTCAGGACGGAGGCCTCAGAGTCCCTCCCAGCAAGCTCTCAGGATTCAGGACCTGGCCTCCACCAAATGCAGCTCATTTTGAAAACCCTGACTTCACATTTTTGTTTCTAGAAGTCAGAATAAATGTGTCTCTCTGGGCTCACGTATTCTAGCTCATTGAGAAGCTTTTTATTAACAGAACTAATTTCTCCTGAGCATGCTTAAAGTTTTTAATGCTGCCAAAAATATTAAGTATGTAAGAATTGTCATTAGCAAGAATGACCAAAGAATGGTTCAACACAAGGAAACTAAAGCCCAGATAAAGCAACAAGTCCAAAGGCACGGGATCAGTAAATGATAAAGGACGATCTCACTCGGACTGCAGAAGATACCTTCTCAGCCTCTAAAAATGCATGAAGCTTCAGAGATAAAAGTTTCATACATCCCTTTTGGAAAGTCTTGCAAAAATGTCTGAGCCCACTCTCCTGGGCTAGGAAATAAAAAACTGGCCTTTAAGAAAAAAAAAAAAAAAAAAAAGAA